ATTTCTTCATAAATATATGTATTCCATACCCAAAGACACCTCCTTCATGTGACTGATGCGTTCAAAGTTACTTGCTGTTTGATAGTTAGTAGTTCCTAAAGTTTAACTTTAGCGTCGGTGGTACAGCGGTTAGGACGCACATAGTCCAGGGTTCGATCACCGGCCGACGCACTCCTTTACCTTGATAAGCCAGTAATGAGACTGGTATAAAGGAGAGGCTGGGCATGAGGCTAGCAACCCCATCCCGTAAAAATCAACACGGCTACAAAAACTTCAAGTCTCTAGCTTGAAGCCCTATATTCCACTGGGAACGTGAACGAATAAAAAAAATTTGACTTTAACGATTCTTTCATATGACAAATATCTGTATCTGTTATACCTGTGTACTTCCTTTTCAGATGTATTTTTCACTAGAATATCTCCATCACAGACATATGATTTACTCAAAGAAGACTTTGATTATACTGCTATAGCTACAGTTACATTAGGTATGATAGTCGCTTCCATTGTATCCTGTCGTCTTGCCAACAGGCGATTAGTATTCAGAGCATGGGCTTGAAGCCTATCATCAGTGTTCCTGTTGTGATTTTCTCTCTGGCCTAATTATTATGCGAAATAGTTCATTTAGTACATTACTGTTATTTTTATTTCACCTGTATACTTTTTATTTTCCACTTTTCTTTTTTACTGCTTGTATCAGTTTTGTATAATCTTGTTGTAAATGTATAAATGCTTGCCCGCATTGATATATGTATATGTTGGTTGTATTTCATATTATGTATTAATAATAATATATTACAATGAAAATAATACTTCTCTTTAAGTTTTTGTGTTCACTGGGATTTGATTGTTCTCAAGGTTTGGCATCCTCAAGAAGTGATATTAGCTGATTAACTGAATTGACAACTTAGGGATTTGTAAACTAGTTGCGAAATTATTAAAAACTTAAAAGTAGTCGGTAACTGTTTCGTTTTAGTTTGAGGAATGCTCAACACTAGAGGCACGTTTCTACAAGAGGTCGTTCCTGAAGCATCAGTTTTCGAGGGCATGAATGTTACTGTTCAGCTAGTAAATAAGAATAAAATTACTTATGATTTCTAACTTTTGCTATTTTTCATGTAGTGCAGTTCCAACACCTGACTAACTATTAGGACGTAGTTCGATTCTTTCAGTGAGTAATTCATCATTAGTGTTTGAACATAGAGTTATTTATATTTGACATGCATTGATTAAAGTAGTCGCAACTGCTTAGAACTTAGCACTAAGATACACCATTGCAGGTTGCCATACATCATAAATTTTACACATAAAAGAGTAGAGAATAATGCTGCAAAGAGACTATAATAAATGGGTAGGAAAAAAAATCACATGAAAAATGATGGAGATTTAATGGATGTGGGAGTTCACAAATAACGGATGCATCTATTCCATTAAGAACGACTTTGAACCACGTCACTAACAATGTGCAACTATTTGTTCCTATCATTTCGAAGACCTCAGCCTCCCTATGTATCTCATATCAACTGTCAAAGCTTTCGTGGATTGACTCTATATTTTGATTAGACCATCCCTGCTTTTTTCCAACCTAATCCCATGTCAATTAATATTACTCGATGAGGAGGGCGGCGGCTGACTATGCTTAACACGTATTCTACCAATCTCAATCGATGTAACTTTACAACCTCATTGTCTAACACTCACCTTTTACTCTCAGTATTACTCACCGTATTATACTACTTAGCCCGACAGGTAGAAAGCAGAAACCCATAGTTAGATACAGTTAACTTTTTCATGTCTTTCACTGTCAACGGTCACGTCTCACAGCCATAAAGAAGGACAGAGCAAATCCCTGCTCAGTACACATGCTTGATTGATAGCTGGATAGGCCAGAGACGATGTAAGTCTGTAAAACGCGACACGAGACCCTTCTGTGATTTCGTCAGTAATCACTCCATCAGGGGTGATGCAACTTACCTAATAAGTGAAATGGTCAGCACTCCGAGTCATTTCACTCTGTATATTTAAACTGGAGATCGGTTCAGTCTAGTCATGCTGTAAAAGATTTGGCAGAGCGAATCACATGCCAAAACTCGAAGATCTCTGTTCAAGGTGTTCAGAAAACTCCTCGTTTCATTGGCGTCTTCATCTAGGACAAAAATATCATTCGCATACTCAAAGTTGACGAGACTGTACTCTGATAACAAATTGACGCCGTGGTCGCTGGAGTCAGTAAATTTATGGTGAAATTAAACGGAAATAGAGATAGTAATTATCCGTGACTGACGCCACTGGTTTTGATCACTTCAGATGACAACTCTCCATAAACTCCTACACGGCTTCCTGATTTCGGGTAGAATGCTTTGATTTGTGCGATGCACTTTCTCAGAACTCTCTTCACAGTCAAACAATGTCATATCACCTCTCAATTGAAGGAGTCAAGTTCCGCCTTCAGGTCAAACAATGTGGCAAGTGTTGGACTCCGGCAAGTATGTCTATGTCCCAAAAGCTTTCGAAGACCGGAGAAATAAACAATATAACCTCTTCGTTGCTTAAAGTCTACCTGGTTTCCCGGGTTTTTATTTCTTCCGAGCACCTTTTAGTCTATATATGATTATTGAACCTAGAACTTTAGATACTACATTAGTCAAGCTTATCCTCCTATGATTATTACATGAAGACTTGTGTCTTTTCTTATAAACTGGGATAATTAATGATTTGCAACTGTCCAGGTGGACAATTTCATTTCCGCACAATTCACTTAATGTCTTAATTAATACGGTCAATAATTCAACTTCGTCATACTTAAACACCACTGGGATCATATCATCAGGTCCCTCTGGTTTACCTCATTTTAGATAAAGGACGGTATTTGCGACCTTAGATATAGTTGCTGGGCCGGTATTTGTATCTTATATAGGTAGGTTTTGGTTCCTTGGCAAATTTAGCATTGCTATGAACTGGTTAGATTGTTCTTCATATTGTCCCCTCCAACGTTCCAGTCTTACCTCCTGAAAGGCAACTAAAGTATCATCCTCGTGAATCGCTCGTAGCCTGATTCTAAGTAGTTTTCTGGTATTATCTACCACCAACAGCGTTTACCACTGTTTATACACTGGATGTAATGCCAGGTTTCCTCAGAGTGGATATCGCTGTTCAGTTATTTCCTCCCTAAATAAAACTTCTCATTAAGTAGTTGGGGTGTAATGGTTTTCCAACTGCCTGTTACCGATGTCTGTCAGTTGTATGCATTTACGTGAAGTAACTAGTGCATGGTTGGAGTCTACGCATATGTTCCAGAAGCAGTGACAATCTTCAGCTGGTCCTCTTCACTGAAAACTTATAACTACACGGTCTGTTTGCGTACATTGTTGTTTTGATGATGGAGGTCACTTCTTTTTTGAAATTAGTATTGACCAGCAGCATATGATCTTATGCACAGAATTGCAAACCGGGATCACTGTTATTACTTCGGCACAGGACTGCATTTGTACAGCTTCCCTACTTGCAGACTGAGGTCGCCTACTAAAGTGATTGTATCTAAACGCTTTGCTTAATTATTTTTTTTGATTCAACAGTTTCTGGTAGAACTTATGCTTTGCTTCATCCGAACTATAGACTTTTGGGGGTTAGATTGAGATTATGGTAAAGCACCGATGGATTTCACAATCTTTCCCTCTCGTAGGTGTGTTCATCCTAATAGCACACATACAACTGCCTACCGGAATCAAACTAGGTAATGACTTTTATGCTCTAGTTCTCAATGTGATTCTTAAATCAACAAGTTCACTGGAACTAACCGAAGGATGTTTTAACAGACATAAAGTGAATTTTGTAGATTCACTACGTTGACTTTGTGGGCTCCAGTGAATGACCATAAAAATTTCCATTGCCCGAGGTGTCAAAGTTCTGACTAGTGAGCCCTGTTGTCCAATCCAACATAAGGCAAATATGAAGTTGACAGTGTCATTTAGAGAGATTAGTTGGTGTTTTTCTATCTCAGATGGATTCTAATGGTTACAGAGTTAAGAGAAAGTGGGAAAGTTACTAGCAGTATAGCATTAACAGTGGCAGGGAAGCCAGAAGATAGAGGTTATGGAATGCTTTTTTAAATTTGGGTGGTTATTACGCACAAGATATTAAGTAATAGGAATACTGGGTCTTCGGGTTCACGCAGCAATGTGTAAACAAAGTTTTCATCGATTGAAATAACATCTTTGAGTAGTCATTCTTTTCTCTGTTATTATGATTCTTAAGCTGAATGTTTCGATTGCAGTAAGTAAGTGTTTGAGCAAACCAGTAATCGAATTTAAAATCACTCAACAGAATGTAGTTGAGAAATGCATTCGTCTTAGAAACTGTGATGATTTAGTTGTTAAGACGAGTGAAACCCAATTTTTTATTCGGTAAACGTTTGTCTATAAGATGAGTTAGGCTGTACAACGTTTGAGGCACAGGTGATCTATTCTTTCCATACTAAACAGATTAGGTTTACAATAACCGAAAAAGTTGTAGTGTGTTGTACGCATATTACGTAGCTGTTTATTTAAGGATTGATTGTTAGCAAACCACAGATGATAACTATTACTGTGGTACCCGAGAAGGCCTAAGAGTAAATGCCAGCTGATGCGCTTAAATGTTCGCATAAAATCTTTTTTATACTGTGAAAAAAGTTTCAAAAGAGGAGCTGGATTTAAGTATTCAAGGGGCTTTATACTTTATTATTCCCCATAGGTATACTATCTGTTTTCGTGCTATGAATTCGTGATATTTGTTCTTCTTTTAACAAAGAAGCAATATTTGAGAATTTTACATCGAGTTGATTACTTTTTGGGTATTCATCTCGCATTTTTAAATACATGAAATAAGAGCTTCGAAATACCTTCTACTGAGTAAAAGCTATTTCACATCACTACAGATCTTCCTTATCCTGTAGAGCACTTGTCATTTTGCTATAATCATACTAACAATAATTATAACTACGCTGATTATGTAAAAAATGTGTTCAAATATAATTGTAGGATATTTTCAGAAAGCACGTATTAATTTAAAGTGACACATTAAAAGATGAAACTACTTGGATGTTCGGTTCGGGTAACATAATATAGTATTTCATAAAAACGACAAATCCGTGGAAAGCGTTGATGATACCACTGCCAGTAAGTAGTTAGGAGACTAGTTGTGGTAACTCTTAGCAAATTTGTCTTTCATTTTTTCTTGGTTGCTCTGCAGAACATTCAGCAGCACGTGGGAATTTTCTAACAACTTGAAAATACTATGTAAATTATGGGTATACTATACTTTGGAGTAAGCTTGTTGGGACTCAGCAATTGCCTTGTCGTATGAGTTTCTAATAACTAGCTTCTTGCTTAGAGAATCGTTCACCTTCGCAAGCTTTTCGGAAATAATTCTCATATCGTGTTGAAGTCGGTTCTTTTCATCATCTTCTTCTATAATCGCTTTTTGCAGCTGGTCTCTTTTCTGACATAGGTCTTCTATCACTTAACTACTATAATTTGCAAATCAGAATGTTTTACGTTTGATGAGTTCAGTATTATGTTGTTGAAGAATTTGTGCATCCTGAATCATTTTCAAGTATTTGGGCAAATGCCGAGTGTGTAACCAAGGTAACAGAAGCGCTAAACAATTTTAGTTTTCTTATCCAATATCTAATATCGTTTTTACGAGCTAATATAAACCAATTTGATTTCTTTGTGCCTGTCTCTTGATTGTGAGGTATGGGTTCCTGATCTTCGGTAAACTTCTGAGTAGCTCATCCCGCCACTCGACTGTCGTAGCTTTGTTTGACTCCGAAAGGAGTAGTGCTGGGATTAATTATGTTTGGTTTGAAGCACGAGGTGTGTTAATACTGTTACTACTGTGAATGGAGCTGATTTTTTGCCGGTTAGTATTCCGATCTCTTCGTCAAAAGAAAAGAGATAATAATAATAGATATTATTGGTGAAATTATTCAGACTAACAGACAGAAAAAGAAATAAGAAAACGTAACAGTAGTCAGGTGATTAAATTTTAAGAATAATATGAACAATACATATATCGGTAATAATTATAATAATAATAGGTGTGGTTAAAGTTGTCAGGAGAGTAAGACGGGAGAGAATGCAAAGAAGTAAAACGACGAACTCAGTTGTATACCTCTGAATGGTCTATGGGATTTTAAGGGGATAGGCTATTTGGACGCTGCATGATTTTCCAGCCTTCGCTTAAAGGCGTCCATAGACGGTGCAAAAGTTACATCTGCCGGTAAGAAATTCCAGGGACGGCAAACCTGCAGTGAAAAGAAATGGGGGCGCACTGGGGTCCTTGCCCTCTGGTGAGATATCCTTCTGGGATTTCCACGAGGGAGCCTATACCTACTCAATGGTGATTCTTGTCATTTGTTATCTTGTGGGCAGTAATCATATCCACCTAAGCCGACGGTAGCTAAGTTCGAATAGACCTAATTTCTTTAGCCTTTCATCATATGGTTTATTTCGGCGAGCAACCATTCCTATTGTCGCCTGTCTTTGGACCCTTTCCAAGCGGTTTGCGTCTCCTCAAAGAAGTAGTGGTGCAATGATATTATGCACTTCATGGTGTGGTCTGACGTACGTTTTGTACAACCTTAGAAAGAGCTCAGGAGTGAGTGCACCTCTCTGTGTAAAGTCTATGACCGCATATAACCACGCCACGTCCCCCGTGCAATTTACGCTTGTGTCCACTTTTTCCGTTAGAACTAGACCTAAGTCACGTTCCGACGTTGCGCGGGACAAGCTTTCATTGCGCAGGGTGTCACTTGCATTCTGCAATCTATGAGTGCATGATTTCACTACTTTGCACTTTTTCAGGTTGAAAGTCATACCATTGGCCACCTCCCAGTCCTCCAGAATCTTTAAATCGGCCTGCAGCTTATCTGTGTTCTCCGGACACTTTATCGCCCCCCCTATATCTTTACGTCGTCAGCGCATAGAAGAGTTGGGCAGCTTGGATGGCGTGGCAGATCACTGATAAAAATCAAAAACATCAGTGGTCCTTGGATAGAACCCTGCGACACGCCTGATGACGAGCTGTGCCAAGATGAACGGACTCGACTGACCTTAGTGCGAAATTTCCTTCCAGCCAGATAGTCCTTTAACCTTGACAGAAGTGGCTTATCTATACCTGCCTGACTTATTCTGTTTAGGAGAAGGTCAGGGTGAACGGTGTCTATAACCTTTCAAAGTATAGAAAGACCAGATGGACTGGAACATTCATATCCCAGCATGATGTCCAATCGTCCCAAGCTGATAGTAGGTTTGTTACAAGGGTATGCCTTTCCCGAAACCGTGCTGGGCTTCATGGGGTATATTGCTTGGTTTATCTGGACAGTAGCCACTAGGTCCCCCTCCTCTGAAATAGCAGTGCCACGATTTTGGACCCAAATGGTAATACACACATTGTTGTTAAGCTGTTTGTCGAAGGATAAACTGAATGTTTCAGCCATTTCCAGACTAGTGAGATACTGAGCGTTTGCGAATATTAAGGCTGTAAATCAAGACTCATAAACCGTTAACGCTCAGCTCTTCTACGCCGGGCCTCTCGCTGTTCCGCGAAGATATTCAGAAACGCCTACTATTAACCGACGCAGAAACAAAAACACTGTTTGGCGACTCAAGAATTCTTTATTCTAACGCCAAAATATAACCAGCTATACTGGCATTACAGACTAGGTTCTAAGAACAAATATTACAACAATAAATCACGATATTATTACTGACGGTTTTTCTACGTTCCTTTTGAACAGCGACCGATGAGACGATGACTGGTGGATTGATGCCTCCGCGAAAATATGGGGAATATGTAACATATCGTGTCAACCGCGCAACAGCTTTCATTAATTTGTACCAAGAAGAATAATATTTAAAAAGTGGATGTAAACCTGAATGTCTTTCTTGAGTAGATGTTAAACTGACACTTGTCTTAAACTCCAAGACACACTCGTCTATCTGTGGTTCATCTTCTCTACTAGGCCACACACCATCAGCCGTTAGCAAGAATTCCGGATCTTTCCACCACTTATTTTTAACCACATTCATATCAATAACTCCTCGCGAAGCTAGATCAGACGGATTTTTTCAAGACGGTACGTACCCCCACTGCTTGACGGTTGTTAGTTCACGAATTTGAGATACTCTGTTAGCCACAAAGCATGCATATCTTGCCGACTCTTTGAGTATATAATATATCGCAGACATCGAATCAGTCCAAAACATTACAGGATACGTGGGATAATCCAACTGTTGACACACCATTGTGAATAACTGCACAGCTAGCAAGACTGCAGTATGTTCTAACCTCGGAATCGAAACCGCCTTTAGGGGTGCAACAGAGACAGCACACCTCTCCAAGTAACTGGCTTATCAATATCACCAACACTAAATCCTAAGGTATCAGAGTTCACATCCCATCGCATACCGAATGTGCCTTCAACTGGCAGAGTATCAACAGATAAATCTCGTACAGTAGGTTCTCTGTCTTCTGGAACTATATGCTTCAAAACGTCTAGGCTGTTCGAGACCCACTTAGTTAAACGAAAGCCAGCCTTATCTAACACCTCAGTAATACTTGTTGCAAATTTAACTGCAGACTTATCATCATCGAAGGAGGCTAAACAATCATCCACATAGAAGCAACAATTGATGACATCCGGCAGATCATTAGAACCAAATGTGGACACTGCCTTTCGTAGAGCAAAATTAGCACGAAACGGGGAGGACGTGGCGCCAAATGGATGGACTGTCGTCCTATATTCTGACACCTTACGACAAGGACCATCATCAAACCACAAGAACCTTAAGTGATCTCTGTCGCTCTCTGGCACCTTCACCTGCAGGAACATTTCCTGTATATCCGCAGCGACAGCAACTGTAAACTTTCTGAATCTTAACAGCGGTCCAACTAATGAGCTCACGCAACATGGGCCGCTATACAGATTATCGTTCAAAGAAACTCCTTCATGTTTCGCAGAACAATCGAACACCACACGGAGTTTACCTGGCTTCCTCGGGTTAAAGACGGGATAGTGGGGCAAATACCACTTCCCTGGCTCACTCTGATCAACTAGTCTTCCAACGTAACCCTTCATTACGTGTTTGTCGACGACATCCTTATATTTGGCCCAGGGTTCTGCATCCATCAGAAATTTCTTTAAACCCATTAGTCTCTTAAGGGCAACTTTTCTATTACAAACTAACTGTCTGTCTTTAAATATCCATTGTAGGCCAACACTGAAACGCCCATTTTCGTATTTACAGGAATCCTCAACTATTTTTACTGCCTTTAGGTCCTCTGCAGAACGACCCTTCTCTGGGACACTGCAGCCGCAAAACTCCTTGTCATGCATATTTTTAATCATAGTCTCCAGTTTGTCCCCATTGTTTGCAACTAGTGATGATATGTGGACTATGGGTATAGGTCCTCTCACTGTCCATCCCAGTGGTGTTCTCGTCGCGAACAGATCATCTCCACCTCCGAATCTCTCTTCTAATACCTTGTGAGCTGCTGGCCCACTACATCCAATGAGTACTGTCACTTTACCACCTTGCAGCGTTGGAAACGGTATGTCACACAGGTGTGGCTTACCGACAACCGTTTCACAACCAGGTACTATAGCTTCGCTGAGTTTCATAATAGAGGTGGTGTAAGCAGTATCTACTTCAACGGTTTCCCCAGTAGTCAAGGATTCTAACTGAAATGACACTCGTTCACATACTACCGTTTTCGAAGAATTGAAAGTATTTACAACCAAGGATTGCTTTGGGCCCTTAATATCCAAGCAGCACGCCAGCTTAGTATCTGTCGGTATAACGTCTGAACCGTTATCCAACAGTGCATAAGTCTCTACCGAAGATTTCGGTCTTTTCAACTTAACTGGTAATACCCCTAAATAAACTTGTGGGTTGTCAAGGGTCTACAGATACTATTGCAATTAACCGATTTCCCCGGTTCTCTTACTGTTCTCGGAAGTGGGTGCACATCGATTGAACCACTACTTCCTTTCTCTGTCACCTTACAATTCAACATTGTATGCCCATTCCTTAAACAACTGATTTGCCATTTTTAACCTTTCTAAGGGGGACATAGCAATGAAGCGATTGCAACTGGTCAATTGATGCGTGTTATGGGAAACAAATCACTCATCCTTTCTCGATATGCCATAAGCCTTCACCGAAAATGCTTTCTTTATATTCGCTGGTTCCTTAGGTTCTACCTTAAAATGCAAAATGCTGGGGAATTTGCCCATCACCTGATTGACGTTGTCCTGTACCAGTTTCAGAATATCATCAAACTTTGACTCAATACCTTCGTCCTCCATACGAGAGCTTATCTTCACACATTTCGTTTGCAGTCAAGTAGGTAGGCGTCTCGCTATCACCTCTAGGACTGAGCTTGAGTTCAAATCACTCATGCATTTCATCGAAATCAACGTATACTTATAAGTCATCAGAATATCTAAAAACTCAGTGAGTGCCTTGGAGTCATCTTGTAACTGACCGCCATTACCCTTAACAGCCTCGGATAATTTCCCTACAATCATCGAAGGTCTTCCAAACCTTTGACGCAGTATGTTCATAGCTTCAGAGTATCCTTCATTAGAGGGCATCAACTTACAGCACTGTATAGCTCTTCAGGCAACTCCAGTGCAGTACCTCATCAAATACATCAATTTCAATTCATCACCTAATAAAAAACTACTCAGAATGATCTCAAACTCCTTTACAAACTGTGAATAG